AGTAGTTGCACACATAGTTATAAGTAGTTGCACCTAGGTGCATGAATGTTTGCGGGTAGTTTTCAGGGATATTACTACCCGCTGAACTTAGATCAATGAATGTTAACAACGCAAAATTACATGCACTTATAGGTGAAAGTAGGTGCACCTATAGTTATAAGTAGTTGCACCTATAGTTATAAGCACATCTAAGTGCATGAATGTTTGTGGGAAGTGAATGCTAACAAGGCAAAATTACTTGCACTTATAGGTGAAAATAGGTGCACTTGTAAGTGATTTTACTTGCACTTCGATGTTCAATTATTTACGAAAATGCCACTGCGTTTTTTTTTAAGTAATTAGATCTGGACACGTGTCGCGCGCTGATTCGTTCGCATATTCCTTCCTGGGCACTTATTCGCACCTGAGTGCATCCCTATATATATATATATATATATATATATATATATATATATATATATATATATATATATATATATATATATATATATACCTATTTTGGTCCTCTAACTATTACGTAATATTTGATTTTAGTCCCAGACTATCAAAATACCTAATTTAGTCCTCTAACTTTTAAAACGGTACCCAAATTGGTCCTCCGTTACAATTGCCATCTATCCGCCGTTATTTCGAGGGGTAAAAATGTCCTTTTGATATTATTCATACACTGATAGTCTGATACGCATATATACAACTCAGTGTATCTAAAGTCTAGGCCTTGATGTATTTTGTACGGTTTCGAGTAAACGGAGATGGAGCCGTCAGTCCAGTGAAATCAAGCAAGACATTTCTTCACTCAGATCCGCATTCTTTTTTACTGTCATGTTGGACAGTCTGCTGTTGGAGCACTACTAGCAAAAAGTGGGCACCTATTTTTGGGGGGTGAGGTGTAACACCCTAATTTTCATAGCCAAATTTTACTTAATATTTTTTTTTTAATTTACAATTTACTAAACTCATAGCGGAAGCATTAACTAATAAAAAAGAAAATGGGTGTTACCGCCACACTTAGGCAATCAACAACCTAAGTGCTAAGGCTAAATTTACAACTTGCAATAAACAACTCAAGATAGGTACTAGTACAAAAACAACTAACAATTCAATTGTCTAACTAATAAATGATATCTCTAGCTGGTTCACTCATTCTCATGCCCAATGCTTATGCAAGAGTTCCTGCAAAAACAATTAAAGAATAGAAAACAAAGAAACACACAAATTCAGCATAAAGCTTGTAAGATCTACTTCACCCCGTAAAACATTTTGCACATAGCATGTAACATATAGGAGAAGATAGTTTACATCTAGAATGACCCCTTGAACATTTTTATTCTCATTAATAATACCAAATCAGTATTTCTCACAATAGGAATTTTAGGTACCTTTCAAAAGTAATATATTTTTTTGCAATATGGAGGAACACCAATTTCAACACAATGGGCAGGGTCTTGTTTCATCAAGCCCTAGTGAACAGTAATCACCATACTGAACACTACACAAAATCCCATTCAATCTCAAGTAATGGGCAGGGTCTTAATTATTTAAGCCCTAGTGAACAGTAATTCTCTTTACTGAACACTACTCAAAAATCCCATTTAAACCAACCAAATAATGGGCAGGGTCTTATTCATTAAGCCCTAGTGAACAGTACTCACTCTACTGAACACTACGCAAAATTCCCATTTAAAGTGGAACAGAACTAATACCTTAACTGTGCACACCCCCAATGGGTTTCCAAGCCCAATGGGTAGTAACTAGTCCTAGTAGCCAGGATACGTTTCTACTGACTACTACTCAACAGGGTAAATACCCTAGTGGTAGACTCCGCTAACCACTCCTCAAAACAACAGGACTAAATGTCCTAGTGAGACAGGATATGTTTCTACTGCTCACTCCACAAAACAACAGAGAGTTTTTAAGCTCCCAAGTGAGTCGGTATATTCAACCGCTCACTCCACAACAAACTGGGTCATAACCCAAGTATCCAGAATTTCACAAAAGGATACTACGCAAGTCTTAAGAATCAATTTCCTTTATCCTCAATCTTTATAAAAGTGACAACATTACTGATATTTCTCAAGAAAACAAATTCTCAACACCTCAAATAAGGAATTGACAGAAATTTTCAGAAGGCATGACCTGAATTGCAAAATTTATAGAAATATATTGGTAACACATTTTCAGGTGAAATTTTCCAGATACAAGGTACGGTGAGTCTAGATTATACACAAAAAATTTCAAATCAATCCAAGTTCTAAAAGTATTTTTCCCGAATTATTTCCCAACACTGCGCCGGACAGAAATTGAACTGGCAGCACACTGCCTCCACTTTACGAATTTTTCTGGAAATATCGAAACATATTTTTAACCAAAACTTTTTACAAACATCAATTATAACAAGTCTAGGTTCTACATAAAAGATTTCAAGCAAAAATAAGTTTAGGAAGCAATTTTCACGAATTTTCCTTTCCATATGCGCCAATCAGAATTTTCTCAGGCAATGATCAAATTGTGTAAAATTTATCCTTCTTAATCACCACAAAATCACCATATCACATAGGCAGGGTTTTCAAAACATCTAAACACATATATCTATTCTCATAATATAATCAAATAACTTTTCACGTTAAATATCACATATTCATTAAAATCATGAATCACATAAACACATAGGAAAAGTGATTTTTGATTTGGGGCAAAAGAAATTTTAGTGAACATAAATCTTACCTCTAATAATGCTCAAAAGCAATCACCTAAGCTTGATGATCTTGACAACTAATTCTTGAAATTAATTGATAAGAAGAAACTGCTAGGGTTTTATTTTTGTTTGGGAGAAAGGAGGGATTGTCGACTGAGAGAGATAGAAAAATATATTGAATTAGGTTATCTGGAACAATATGACTACTACTTAAACACTTAACTAATAAATTGTATTATAAATAATAATTCTAGTTGTAGGAGACTACAATACCTAAAAACTTAATATAATATTAATATACTTATTAGCCTACTAGCACTTAACATATATACATACGTAACACATATATAAATAAATAACTATTACCCATAATACACCGTTTAGAAATAAATGAGTAGCAGTAGTAGACTAGTTTAAATAATTTTGGGTCACATAAAATAATATAATTACAGACCGTATAGTAAAAATATTTTATTTAACATAATATCTATTTTATAAAATTTTATTTAGAATAATAATATTTATAACAAAATACTCAAATAACCGGGGTATCACATGAGGATTATTCTACTAACTGTTTTGGATGGTGACCAGAAGAGAAGAACTAATGTTATTGGTAGTAGAAGGTGGGGGGTTTCTTCTCTTCTTCAACTTTTGGGCATAGACTATAAGAGGTAGTTAATTGTGCACCAGCAAGATATAGCATTGGCGATATATATGCGTATAAGTGTAATACTACTTTACCTTTTTCCTTTTTAGGATCGACACTCCTGCACTTATTAAGATCACTCCTCTTCTCTACCTCTTGTTTTTCAACAAATTGTATGACCTTGACTCTTACCGTCGGCTCCTCCGCCATTCCACCACCCAACACCAACGCCTCCCTGTCGTTGGCGCCGCCAATGAAAATAACGCAAACCCTCTGTGCGATGGCGGTGCCTCTTTCAGCAATCAATACTATCTGATTTTTCAGGAGTTTTCAGGAACGCCACCTCCCCGTATCCTCGGTCCATGAGCACCGTCACCGAGCAAAGCGCCTGTAACACCCCTAATTTTCAGTTCTATTTTAAAACATTTAAAGCTTATAAGATAAAGGCGAATCTATCATTAAAGAGCAGAACTAAACACAAGTGTCGGGGTGCTATGCCACATCTAAGCTTGAGAGCCTAGATGAACAGGCTAAACTAAATAAACAACGCATAAACTGTAAACATTATCCAGATACAAACGTGGCTCACAGGCTGTCTAACTAAACTAGGACTATCTAGTACTAGGGACCATGATCTTGTCTAGCGCGCTCTCGTACTACTGATCTGTACCTGAAAAACATATGGTGTAGCAACCGTTAGCAAATAATGTTAAGTAACCCACTCCCACATGTTGAGTATAATATATAGCTATAAGAAAACCATTTTGAGACTTGGGTATACATAGATATAGTCCTAAGCAACTCTAGCTTTAAAGTCTAGACCATGACTCATGGAATATCATAGATACTGACACGTAAGACCACATTAAGATATAAGCGTGCAAACTATGACTATAAGACAAGACAGCGATAAGGAGCACATAGCAGACTCTGACCACAAGGCAAGACAACAATAACAGACAACAATACGATCACATAACAAGACACGCCCACGTTCTAACCTTATACCAATTTCCAACCTTTACGCCCGTGACACCCCGTAAATCTAAATACTAATCGAGGATTAATTGAAGAATTAATCCAAGTTCCTTTGCTAATCCATTTCTAAAAATCCTAAAATTTGATAGTCGAGGGACTAGATTTTGACTAGTCACTTAAGTCAAATGGGTGTACCTTCTGCTTCTTGAGTTGTGTCCTTGTCCCCTTGTCTTTCCAACCTTAGTAAGGGTAAAAATGACTTTCCACCTATGAATTGTGGTTCAAGCTACCCTAACAAGACATTCTCATTTCATTCATCATTTCAACCTAAGACTCAAACACTCTAGACTCTCTCTAAAGTAACCTAGCTTATTCTTCAAGCAAGAAGGTGAACCTCCAAGTCTTGCAAAATCTTTCACCAAGATTCCTACTTTCTTCTTCTTGAGCATAGGAAAGTGTAAGGTTCTTAGCATTTTGGTGTTTTTAACCATCTTTTGGGTGTCTTTATCTAAAGTTAGGATCTTTCTTGTGTTTTAGTTTGTGTATGAAGTTGGTGTGGAAGAAGAGCTCTAGGAAAAAAGCTTAAAAGGGTGAAAATAAGAAGTTGTTAGGCTACAAAGGTAACCGATGCTATACAAAGCCTATTTTCTTACTTAAATGATGATTCTTGGCTTCTACTTGTTGTTCTTCATGTGATTTGTGAGATTTGATGCATGATCTTGTGATGATGCATGTTTAGAGCTTGTTTTTAGGTTTCTTGAATGCCATTGCTTGGATATTTCTTGGCTTCAAGTCATATCTTTGTTGTGTGTGAGATTTTGGGTGTTTTGGAATTGAAATTGGCCTTGTTGTTGATTTTCCCTGAAGGGAAATTTTGGTGTACAGGTTGTATCCCGCAGGCGGAACGGCGAGCAGAGGCCTACCCGCCGCCCCACCCGCGGGGAACGTGGTTTCCTCGGGTGTGTACCCGCGAGCGGAACCATGGGTGGAGGCCCACCCGTGGCCCCACCCGCGAGGTACATGGTTGGCGTGGGCGGGGATTTGTTCCCCGTGATTCTTTCTTCTTGGTATTGATGTTTTGACCTCCCGATATTGATTTATTGGGCTATTTGTGAGTCTTCTTGATGTTTCGTATGTCTAGAACGGTGTGTTAGGAATCCATGTAGGATTTGGTGTCTTGAATCGCGCTAAGGGTCCAACTTTGTGATTCGTTGGGCTAATGTGAGTCTTGAATGTTCTTTGGAAATAATTTGGTTTACCCGTTTGATAAGCATGCTAGTTTGATGTTGATATGCCAGTATGTGTGGTATGTTCCTTCTTATTGGGATTGGTATGTGTTGACAATCATTTGAGGTCGGATTGTAATCCTTTGTTGTTGAATATGGTCTCATGTCTTTATTGTGATCTCTTGATTGATTCCTATGGTGTGATCGTATGCAAATCATTGTACCCTTTGATTGATACTTGATTGGGGCTATTGTTGAGCCTTAGTCTTCTTGGTAATGATGATGACTATGTGTGACCATGATTGAGATTGGTGGTTTTGTTAATTGAGCTTTGCTCACGAGATTGGCGGTTTTGTGATTATGATATTTAATGGTATCCTCGTGTACTAAGAGATCGGTGGTGATGTTTGGCGGTGTAGGCGGGGGGGGGGGGGGGGGGGGGGGGGGGGCAACGGTCCCCAGAGGTAAGTGGTTGGACTCAGAAGTATAAGGTGGCACTAGGAGGTAACGGTTGGAACTGTGATAAGGCCGGGGGTAGTCATAAGGTTGGGACAGGGCATAAGGGGTAGGGGGTTTAGGGGTCCTTGCCTGGTTTCTTGATGGTGCCATTCCGGGTTCTACAGGGTCAACATCGGTCGCAGATGTAAGTCAAGGGTTTTCACCCTTACCTTGTTGCCAAAGAGAGTCTACATACAAAGGGCAAGCATAGAAACTTTACGGAAAGCGATAAATAAACTCACAACCTCACCGCGCGTCCTAGAATTCTTAATTCCTAAGTACTTAAGCACCTAGAGTTTCAGCTTAATGTCCTAGAGTCTGGTCTTAAAGGCTTTACCCTAGGGTCGAACATAGGCTCTGATACCAACTGTAACACCCCAAATTTTTAAAACATTTAAAGCTTCCGAAATAAAAGCGAATCTAACATTAATTCCCAAACAGAGCATAAGTTAAGCATAAGAGTCGGGGTGCTATGCCACATCTAAGCTGGAGAACTTAGATGCACAGGCTAAATTAATTAAACAAAGCATAAATCCATACATCCATAATCGAGTACAAACCAAGGCACGCAGGCGAACTAACGAATACTAAACTATCTAAGCTAGGTCCTCGTGTCCATCTAGCGCACTCCGAAGCTACTGATCTGTACCTGAAAAGCATACGGTGTAACAACCGTCAGCAAAAATGCTGGTAACCCACTTGCACGCGTTAAGTACAATATAGGTAGATATAAGAAAACCATTTTGAGACCAGAATACATATATAATCCTAATCAAACTCTAACTTTAAAACCAAAATCAAGACTCAAGATGCAACGACAGGTCTAATATTATGAATCATCATGAAAGTACTAGCATGCGTCCTAACTCGCAAGATAAGATAATCACAAAGTTCAGCAATAACAAACAATAACAACGATAAGGCACAATAAAAAGCAAGGTCAGTAACAACAATCGTATCACAGTCCAGCCTTATACCAAATTCCAACCTTTACTCCTCTCTATCCTTATATCAGTTCCAACCTGTACCTCCAGGCCCCCCTTATCCCTCCGGAGCCCTTCATGGCTCCCCTCCAACATATCTCCAACATAACCACCGATCTAATAGCACCGCAGTACCATTAACACATGATCCGTGCCTATAGCACTATAATCAAGGGGTCTTGCCTATAGCACGAAGACATAGCACCGCAGCGCTTATAACTTGATCTATGCCTTTAGCAAACTAATCAAGGTGGTCTGTGCTTTTAGCACGATAACCGAATGGTCTGTGCCTTTAGCACAATAATCGGGCACTTGTTGTGCCAACCTCCAACAATCTTTTCCACCAATCACATCTCTTCCTCATCATGTACAATCATCCACAACAATCAACACACAACAACAACAACAATGGCCACCGCTCAATAACAACAACAATCAATACACATCAACACATAGCAAGGGGTGGTCAAGGGGAAAGTACAACAATAGACTTTCATCAACAAATGACATCAACATAAACACGCAACCCACAAGATACAGCCTAAATTCTACTTCCCAAGGTAACGAGTCAACCACAAGACACACACGGGAGCATACAAATCTCATCCTAGGCCAACGGGATACCAACTTAACCACATGCAATCACCAAGACTCACAACTCCTAAAACGGCACCCGAAACATCAAACGAGACTCATAAACATCAAACGGGGCACAACAGGGCACGAAGTAACAACAAACGGGGGAAAACATCACAACGCGCCGCCCCGTTCCAGCGGGTGCACGCCGGGTGGTCAATCACCCGTCGGTGGGCGGCTATGTACCAGCGGGTACACGGCGAGTGGTAGACCACCCGTCGGCCACCCGCTGGTACGGCGGACATGTACTGGCGGGTGGTCATGTAACACCCCCCGATTTTCAGCATAAATTAAAAACTTATAATAGAGATAGACAATCTAATCATAAACCATTAAACCAGCGGAAGCAAAACTCTTTATCGGGAAGGTGTTATGCCACACCCATAAGACTACGGGTGCACAGGCTAAGTCTACAAATTCAACATAACATAACAACTGTCTAAGGCACACAGGTCGTAATCTAAGGCACACAGGCCATCAAACTAAGCAAAAGGAAGGCAAGGCTACGCTAACTAGATCCACTAGTGCGCTCTCCGATCTAATCAAAACCTGTAAAGACAAGGGATAACACCCGGTCAACGAATAAAGCTGGTAACCCACCAATACACGTTAAGTATCAATATATATGTATATATATATATATATATATATATATATATATATATATATATATATATATATATATATATATATATTAGAAAACTGTTTGAGACTGAGGAATACAGTACATAGCATTTGAAAACCAAGAGATGAGACAACAATCAACATATCACGCTCTCAATAAAGATCAAGACCAACAACTTCAATCAAAGCAATAGAGACCACAAACAACAAGCGACAACCACAACTCTAGATGCAACCTACCATTAACAAGGTAGAGTTCATCATAGACATACTTATAAGCAGGAAATACAACAATCACATAATGACAAGTTTCACGTTCCAACCTTATGCCTTAGTACCACCTTTATGGCTACCCTCGGCCTTATCACAGTTCCAACCTGTACCTCCCAGTGCCACCCTGTACTTCTGAGTCCAACCTTTTTCCCAGTCTGGGACCGTCGTCCCCCCACCAATCGCACCACCAATCATTATACCACCGATCTCTCAGTACACGAGGGTACCATTAAATTCATAGTAACATACCACCGATCTCATGAGCAAAGCTCGAGTAACAAAACCACCAATCTCATTCAAATTCGGCCATTAAATGTGAACGAAAAAGAGGGAAACAGTGGAGATAATCATGCATGGAGAAGATGGATACATTCCAGCACTCGAGCAAGCGGACTCAGTGCTGGAAAGTGAGGGACTAGTTGATGGGGTGTGGACCCAATGGGCTTAGGGCCTAAGAGGGAAATGAGAAGATGGGTCGAAGATTGGGCCTACAGAGATTGGCCCCGAAGAAGGAATGAGGGGAATAAGCGTCATGGGCCATGAGCAGGCCCAGAGAAGGATGCTGCCGAGCGAGGGGCCGAGTCCAAGGAGTCAGCATGGACAGGGGTCGGCCCAGTAGGTGACCGTTATCATTAAAGGGCCGCCTTTAATGCTTGGTCAACCAAGCCGTTGGTTATGCCTAGTAACGGCAGTCCAACGTTCCTTAGCCTTAATAGGCACCATTAAGCCACTTTATTATCCCTACTTAAACTAGTAAGGGAGGCTACCTATAAATAGGGCCCCTTTTAGAATGTAACGAGAAGCTTCTTCCGACCGAGAGTCGCCAGAAAGTGCAAATAAAAGTACCAGATTCATAGTAATTATATCTCTTTTAGTAGCTTTATCTTTGATGCGTAGTATATTTGCAAACAAATAATTCTCGGAGTACGAGTTATCGATCCACAGGGAAGTGGTTGTATCAAGCACTAGTTACTAACTTATTCATTAGAGCTAATCCTAACAATTACTTAGATGATTGATTGGCATAAAATAAATAAAATAAAACAGAGGTTCAGGATTTTGAAAACAATTAGAGAGAAGTTGAGATTCATGGGATTCAAGTATTTAATCACCTAGTGCCAATTATCGTTTGCAATATTTAGTTTGGAATTAAGATTTGTGTGGGAATGCAAAGTGGAATCGAATTACTCCCGTAATCTCTATTCCTAGTGAATTTCCACTCCCGTGGCTTAAACACCCAATAAGATCGAAGATCAGCATTCAATTATTCCTAATTACTACCATCTCCCGATTGGCAACAATCTAGAATAAACTTCCCCTAATAAGTTCCCCTTTCCCAAGGTCCAACCATTAGGTGCAATTGTGTGTACCCTAATTTATGCCCCAACTCCCATTGGTGACACAAACATGGCTATGAAGCTAGTAACTATGGCCATTAATTACAAGCATCAAACAATATTATCACGATTGCAACACAAGTATTAAACCCAAATAATAATATATTAAAGAAACTGAGAGCTCAGGCACATAGGTTCATAAACACTTTTACCCAAGAATCTCTAAAGAATTTAGCCAAGCATGACTAAATTATACATAGCAAATATAAATAAAGAATTACAAATCATCAAAAGAGTACAAGAATTAACCAGACGATTTTCCCAAATCTCCCTAGTCTTCTTCTTGCTTTCCAAGACAACTTATGGCTCTTGATTTCTCTCCTTCTTGTCTCCAAGAATCTCTGAATTCTGAATTCTGGACTATACAATTGTCTATTCTAATTATTTACTCTAAACTAAAACTCATTCTTCTTAGGGTTGAGGAAGGTGGGATTTTATAATAGGTACAAAGTTGGGATCAACCCTTGGGAAATTAGGAATATTCCTATTTAATAAATAAGAAATTGCCGTCTTTAATCATTTGATATTTCTGCCATCATATGATTAGGAAATTACTATCCTTTCTTTAGCTTTGGAGAATGCCACTTTAAATTAGGAAGTTTCTAAAATCGCGCCCAGTGCAATAAGTATGGTTTGCAAGCTTAGTTTGACCATTTTATATTATTATCTAGATTTTGATGTCTGCATAAGAGTTGTAGCCCTTCGAGTCTTCTTTCCAATGACGTAAGAATCACCTCAATCGGACATTCCTAGCATGAGATAAGATCAAAATACTAAACTGTCGCCAATCTGTGCGAGATGAAATATCACTGGAAATTTTCGACGCGTCGAGTTTTCTGCTGAGTCATAGGTTGTAGCCCTTCGAGTCTTCTTTCCAATGGCGCAAGAATCACCTGAATCAGACATTCCTAGCATGAGATATGATCAAAATACTAAGCTGTCGCCGAATTCAACGGGAATTACAACTCTTCGGTCTTTTGATTCACTTTTGACTCCAACTTTGTCCTAGGACTTCCCTTGCTCATAACTTTGACCTACAATGGTTCAAAAACACTAACAAACACCGTAAAACATTCAAAATAAGTGTGAACCATAATTAAATGATAATAGCAAGGAAAACATGTATTAAATAAGCAAAATTAATGAACTTAATTACAGAGATGATTCAAAATAACTATAAAAACAAGCACATATGTGATAACATCAATCTTTATGGTGAATCCATCAACTACGGTTGTGTTGGACCTCCCTGGACCTAAAAACCCTAAAACCAACATACATATACGCTGCAAATATTATACTATCATTTTTAACGGACAAAATTATCTTATACTATTATACTATTAAACTTTGTTTAATATACATTAAATTATAACATAATTATATTTAATCATTTACCATATTTAAATTCGTACTTTAACAATTATTAATCATACCATAATTATTAACCAAATTATCAATTATACTTTTAAATATATAATATGAATTCTACAATTATAAATTTAATGATATTTAAAAAAAATTATAAAATTTTATTTAAAAAATAATAAATTATAACTATGATTTTAACATTGAATACTAATATTGGACACCTATTTTTGTGCATCGCGAATAGAAAAGACTAGTAATGAAATAAGTTTGGAAAATGGTAAACTCTCAAGCTTTTTGGTAAATTCAAAATAATTATAGGGCGAAAATTGGCTCTCGGACTTCCATCATAGAGACGGATTTGCTTGGGCGAAAGTGGTCGAATCTTGGTCTGATATGTCCTTCTTTTATACTTTCTGGTGTTGTTGACTCCTCGAGGCACAAAAAAGTGGAGACTAGATGATGAGTTGGATACCGATAGTCTAGTGTTCGCCCTCCGCCCAAATGGTTGTCCTTGGCCCATTTCGGTATGTAGTTCCAAGATATGCTGGCCTATTTATGGAAGCCACAGTCAAGACAATTTATTCCCAAGTTTAGGAGATTACTTTCTTATCTTTTACAAGCAATCAATTTGTAATTAAAGTGCACGATCTGAAGAATTTACTCTTTTTTTTTTTTTGGTGAAGTAGAAGCCCTCAAAGAGAGCTTTATCTAACCCTTAAATAGGGTGTGTTACATAAATCAGCTGAAAGAAGATCGGTTAGACCCATAGGCGCTTGTTCCAGGAGAGTAGTACCCCAGTCGGTCGTTTGGCCCAGATTAGCTAGCCAGTCAGCACATTTGTTCCCTTCCCTTTCAATGTGAGTGAACCGGATAGTGTGAAATCTCGACGCAAGGTCGATGCAGTCCTTGACTAACGTTATCATAGTCTCGGACTTCTCGTTATTGTTCTTGATTGCTATAATGGCTGTTGAGTCCATCTCCACCCAAAGTTTGTCGATCCCCATTCTCAGGCTGATCCGTAAACCCTCCCTTAGGCCCCACAGCTCAGCCGAGAAGCTATCTGTAGTACCAATCTTGATAGCAAAACCCTTAACTCAAATGCCTCCCTCGTCTCGGATTAGGCCCCCTGCGCTAGCCATGTCGGTGTTGATTTTCTTTGCTCCGTCCGTATTTAATTTCCTCCATCCTCTTTGTGGTGGTATAAGAATTTACTTTTCTAATTATGGTTGAGTATCATAATTAAGTATGAGTTGTATACATACCTCAAAAAAGGACTCGTAAAGGGTTAAAAATTGTTTATACGAAAGCAGTAAATACTTTTTTCACAGTTATTCTATTTTTCTTAACAATTTTTTTACTCTCTATTTAGTCGTGCTAGATGGCGGTCAAATCAATTGCATGATAAGTTCCCAAAGACACTTATTTCCATTAGATATTTCATTTCAATTTGGTCTACTTATTTTTTAGATTAATTGAATTTGGTACATAATCCGTTATCATTTGGTTTTGAGGACTTTCTGATCAAGAATAGGAAAACAGGACAAAAATGTGACATGCTAGAGTGTTTTGGCCATAACCCCTCCATAAAATTTCCAAAAGGGGTGATTCTAGTGTCAATAAAAAGCTAAGAAAGTACTATACAACTTTTGTGTTTGAAAACTGTGAGATTCTGGACGCATTGATATCAAAAAATTAGAACATTAATTCAGACGCATCCTAAAGAATCCGTTCTGTAACATGTTGATAGTGTTTTTATCATATATGCCTCATAAAATATCTTATTAAGGTGATTCAAATGGTAGGTATTATAAGAGAATCACCTACAACTTTTATGCTCAAAATTTTCTCAAATTGTGAGTGAAACAAGTTCAAAATCAAGCCCAAAGTTTGACACACTAGGTGACACGGCGGTGACACACCCATATCGCTTAGGCGCCATTTTTGTGTTGAAATTCAACATGGTCGTGACACGGCCATGACGGCGTCCATTTCAGACACAAGAATGTGTATTTAAACCTATTTATAGAATTTTTTTATACTTTTCGACCCGATACTTCAAGAAAAACTCCAAGACACTCTTGGGAGCTTCAACCACTCTTGGGGAAGACACTTTTACATCTTGGGAAGTCTTGAATCAAGATTTTTTTCACCGATTAAATGGGTTTTCCTATGTCTTTGTTTGATCTGATCGTTGATTTATTTTCTTTCGTGTTTGCCTCCATGATTAGAGGCTAAACGTTGTGCTACTTGGATTTATTGGGAGCCCTAGATTGAGACAATGTTATTAGTTGTCTATTGTTAATTTATGATTGTTTATCCTTAGATCCAATTGTGTTTCTTGATTGTTCTTGAATCAATAATTGCATGCTTATTAGATTCTTGATTGATGCATGAACTTTGAGATAGAGATATCCTTAGTTAATGTAGATCTCACACAATTGGAAGGAGTACGCGGAATGCAACCCTAGAAATATGATGACATCAATCATCTGTGTTTGAGTTAAATAGTTCAGTAGAACTCATATAATGTAATTCTTAGAAAGATTTTAATTTAGAAGGGATTCTAACTAATCAACATAGGCTTAGTTGTTAATAATCTTAAGAAAAATATTAGCATAAATTAGGAGATCTCAGGGCCTCAAGTTATTATTTGCATGCTTATTTATAGTCAATGATATCATAAGAGACTCTAGATCCAAGTACAAATTTTACATTAATTATTGTCATCATTTATTTTGCATTCATTAATTGCTTTATTTATTTAATATCCTTTTTCTCAACTCTATTACACAATTTGCTAAAGGCTACATAATAGAACGACATATACTACTAGTACTTATGTGGATATGACACTCGTTAATCTCACCTCTATACTCATAGACCATAGGTGCCCGAACTTTCTTAATCGAAATTTGTATAGTGCAATTCGAGTATCAGTGCACAAGTCACAATTAATTTAAGAATAACCATCTCTCCTATTTAATAACTCGAGTTAATACCTCCAATGGTTCTCCGAGTATTAAGGTATTACCAGGTGTGGTCCTCCGAGTTTAAAATGACTACGAGACGTCCTCCTAGTTTTTAAAAATAACCACATGTGGTCTTCCGTTAGGATTGGTGTCAAATGAGCGTTAAGTGTGAGGGCAACCCAGTCATTTCTCGTATGAGTTAATACCTCCAATGGTCCTCTGAGTATTAGGGTATTACCAGGTGTGGTCCTCCGACTTTAAAATGACCACTAGACGTCCTACTAGTTTAAAAAAATTGCCACCCGTAGTCCTCAGTGAGTTTTGTTGTTAAAAGGGGCGTTAAGTCTGAGGACAAAGTTGTCTTTTCACATATATTTCTTTCTCCTTCTTTCTCCCCCAATTCAACCTCCCTTTCAGGACCATAAATCGAGATATTGACTATACGATTATGTCTAAAACTATCAATCCGTAGTATCTTACTACCTTCCAAGCACAAAATGATTATTCCTAACACTATACAGATATGTAGTTTAGTGTATCACACAATGAATATATCCCATACGGTTGGAAGATGGTAAAGAAATGGAAACGAGGAACAAGACAACATAGTATGTTCCTTTTCTTGTTGGCATCTCAATACCTTATAATTTAATCAATCTCATTCCACATAAACCAAATTTAAAATTTTACTTATTTATTAGAAAGTGCACCCTATTTTGTCTCTTACAATTCCTTCTCTTCATTAACATCTCACTTTTTCCTCATAGGAAAATCAATAGAACAAAGCTGAAAATAAATATCTTTGAGCTAGGGATATATATATATATATATATATATATATATATATATATATATATATATATATATATACACACACACACAGACACAGACAC